TAATTCAAAATGGATCAAAGACCTAAATATAAAGCCAAACACTATAAAGTTCATAGAAGAAAAAACAGGATCAATGCTAAAGGCCCTAACACATGGCATTAACAGGATACAAACCATAATCAAAAACACACAAACTCCAGAAGATAAGCTAGATAACTGGGATCTTCTAAAAATCAAACACTTAGGCTCATCAAAAAAGACTTCACCAAAAGAGTAAAAAGAGAACCTACAGACTGGGAAAAAAATTTTGGATGGTACAAGTCAGATAAAGGTCTAATCTCTGTAATCTACAAGAAAATCCAACATCTCTACAACAAAAAGACAAATAATCCAATTAAAAAATAGACAAAGGAAATGAACAGACACTTCACCAAAGAAGACATTCAAGCAGCCAACAGACACGTGAGGAAATGCTCCCGATCACTAGCCATTAGAGAAATGCAAATTAAAACCACAATGAGACACCATCTCACCCCGGCATTACTGGCATGAATCAAAAACACTGGAAATAACAAATGTTGGAGAGGCTCCAGGGAGATTGGAACTCTTATGCACTGCTGTGGGAATACAAAATGATACAACCATTCTGGAAAATTATATGGCACTTCCTTACAAAGCTAAAAAACAGAAATACCATACAATCCAGCAATCTGACTCCTAGGAATACACCCCAGAGAAATAAGAGCAGCCACATGAATAGGCATATGCACATCCATGTTCACTGCAGCATTGTTCACAATAGCAAAAAGATGGAAACAACCCAGATGCCCATCAACAGATGAATGGATAAACAAACTATGGTACATACACACAACAGAGTATTATGCAACGATAAAGAACAACGATAAATCCATGAAGCATCTCATAACATGGATGAAACTGGAGAACATTATGCTGAGTGAAATAAGTCAATCATGAAAGGACAAATATTGTATGAGATCTCTACCGTAAAAACTCAAGAAACAGTTTACACACAAAAAGAAACAATCTTTGTTGGTTACAAGGGATGGGAGGTGTGGGGGGGAATACTAAATAGACAGTAGATAAGTGGTAACTTTGGTGAAGGGTAAGACAGTACACAATACCGGGGAAGCCAGCACAATTTGTACAAGAAAAGGTTATGGAAGCTCCACAGACACATCCAAACTCCTGAGGGACTGAATTGCTGGGCACAGGGCTGTGGGGACCATAGTCTCAGGGAACATTTAACTCAATTGGCATAACACAGTTGATAAAGAAAATGTTCTACATTCTACCTTGGTGAGTAGCGTATAGGGTCTTAAAAACCTGTGAGCAGCCATCTAAGATACTCCACTGGTCTCAACCCTTCGGCAGCAAGGGAGAATGAAGAAAACAAGACACAAGGGAAAGATTAGTCCAAAGGACTAATGGACCACAACCACCACGGCCTCCACCAGACTGAGTCCAGTACAACTAGATGGTGCCCAGCTACCACTACTGACTGCTCTGACTGGGATCACAACAGAGGGTCCCAGACAGAGCTGGAGAAGAATGTAGAACAAAATTCGAACTCACAAAAAAAGACCAGACTTACTGGCCTGACAGAGAC